TTATTTATTTATTTATTTATTTTATTTATTTATTTCGAGCCTCAGCTGACCTGGAACTTGCTATCAATCTCACAGAGATCCATTTGCCTTTACCTCCTGAGTGCTGGGATTAGGCTGTGCATCACCATGTCTGGATCGCCACACCTCTTTTAAAAGAGGAAATTAAACAAAGAAAAGCATCTTAGATGTACATCGCTGGACCGTGTGTGTGTGTGTGTGTGTGTGTGTGTGTGTGTGTGTGTGGCCATTTTCTTTTATCTTTATTACTTTTTCAAGGCCTTCCTTCTCTTCCTCCTCCTCTTCCTTCCTGATACTAGGGACTGAACCCAGCAGAAGTTAGGGAAGTCTTCTATGACTCAGCTGTACTCCGACTCTTGTGTTTCTCGTTTTACTGAGGTTTATTTGCATTATGGCATTACACTTAAATTTAAGGTGTACAATCTGGTGAGTTCTCACATGAAATCATCACTAAGGAATGTGAAGATCTGCAGAGGTAACTATATACAAGAAGTTACAACAAGCTGTGATCATGAGAACGTTTTGTTCGTTTCCTTTTGAGAAAGGGTCTTACACTGGAGCCCTGGTACTTGCTATGTAGTTCTCACTGGCCACAGACTCATGGCCATCTTCCTGTCTCTGCTTTCCAAGTGCTGGGACTAAAAACATGAGCTTCCTTGCACAACTGTAAGAACTTGATGTTGAAAAACTCACTAAATCACACACACACACACACACACACACACACACACGAGCTTCCTTGCCCAACTATAAGAACTTGATGTTGAAAAACTCACTAAAACAAACACACACACATATAGACACACAACCTGGCACATTTCTGTGAGTAAAGTATAAAAAAGAAATTGAAGATTAATGTAACTTGAGACCTTTTAACACAAGATCTAATTTTCCAATATTTTTAATATAATGGGATACTAGTATATTAAAGTTGAGTATACAAGCTAAAATTTGCAATAGCATTAGGAAAAGATTAGAGATTATGTGTAGCATACTCTATTTTAGAAGGCAGGAAACTAAATGTTGCCATGTAAAATAGTTAAAATATTTTAAATGGAAAAAATATTGAATCCTTTAAAAAAGCACATTATTGGTAAATAAACTTACACTGGATAGAATTATTTATAAAATGTTGGCTATTTTGAATATTTATATATAACAGTTATTTTTCTGTTTATAATCACAGTAAAATTGGAAGTCTGCCCAAACCTTGCAAAATATAAAACAAAAACCATTTTATTTAGAACATATTCCTTAACATATTAAGATTCATAGGCATAGTGGTTCTGAAAGAATATTAGATTAAGCAGCTTTAGATGAGTTTATCTTAAAAAATGCAAACTTCATGTTTATATCACTGTAATGAGGTTCTTTAAAGTGGGAAAAAGGTTATTATTTCCAACTCCTTCTTCTAGAATATAAATTACTTCAATTCTGTTGAAAATATTTATTTAGGGGCTGGAGAAATGGCTCAGTGGTTAAGAACACACTGGCTGCCTGTTGCAGAGGACCCAGGTTCAGTTCCCAGCACCCACAGCTAACAACCATCCCTAACTGTAGTTTCTAGGGATCTAATGCTCTCTTCTGGCCTCAGTGGATACTGTATGCATGTGGTGCACTTACATACATGCCAGTAAAACACTCATACATATAAAACATTTATTTATTATTTTTGGTACCCAGGGTAAAATCCAGAGCCATATAAGTGCTGGGCAAGCATTCTACCACTGAGTTACAACATCAACCAGTCGACATTTTCTAACCTTAAATCTCAGTAAAAGCTTCTCAGAATTCAATGGCCCACTGATGTCACTGAGAAGCAGTGTTACACCCTGGGGTTGCTAATCAGTTTGGAAGCTTTTAAGTGAAAATGTAAAAACTGTGCTTTTCCCAAAGTCAGGTACAACTGGACTCTAAAGGGGGCATGCCAAAGTTCATTTCCCACTAACTACCAGGATGGTATTAAATTCAGGGAACAGTTTAACTCTATTAATAACTTGTCAAACTTAAAAAATTATCCAGGGCTGGATCTCAATAATCAATTCACACTTTAAAAATAGTTCACTAAGTGACTATAATGCATAGCCAGGGTTGAAAACTTTCATTTTAATTTCTTCTTAGAGCATGACAAATGCTATAGAACCTGCCCCCCTCTAAAAATAACTACAAAACTGGACAAAGTACACGAAACAATTGTTTCAAGCACTGAAGAAAATGGACTTGACAGGCAAGGAAGCAGGAAAACGTAAATCACAGTCAAGAAATAAACACACTTCACAAAAATGATGCCAAGATAACCTGGATGTTAGGAGAGCAGGAATTCTACTTTTAAAATTTTATTTAGAGCAGTTTTAAGTTTACAAAAGAAACAACAAACCACCAGGCAGTACAGAATTTTTACACTTCCTCTATCTTACTGTCTCCAGTTTCTCCTACTGTTTACTTCAAATCACTGTGAATTGATGAGCCAATATCGACTTTATTAACTACTCTGAATCCATAGTTTATATTAAGGCTTTTAGTGTTTGAC